GGACACGGTAGGACCACAGCAGGGGCTAACCCTGACAGGTGGCGGTGAGTCAGTCAGGTATAAGCAGTCGGAAGATGTCAAATACAACATCAGGGCACCGTGTATGGCTGATTTAGGGACCGTCAAAAAATTGCCACTTAAATAACTAAACATTAATTTCTTGCAATAGCTTCCATGTCATGCGATCCAATTGTGGAAGTAACAAACCTGTACTCATTGGCACCAAGCATGAGGTAAATAAACCTGACCCCCGAACAAAGAAAATTCTCAGGTTTTATACATTTCTGTAACACCTCTAACATTCAATTCTTGGTTAAGACAGTGACTCTACATTGGCATACAGAGTGTGTGATGTCCTCAAAGATGATGACCTTCTGCACCTCTGCATTCCTTTAGGCCCATGGTCAGTCGGCCAGTCGCCATGAGTTGCACTCCTCCCTTGGTGACCCTTTGCATATCCCCATGTTAATCAATACTCTGCCATCAAGCCAATCAAATTAGTCATATCAAATATATATTTGGTCCATTAGCTTAATTCATTATAACACATGGATTAGAACATATCAAATCATATGGAATAGATAAACACAACACACATATGAGACTACATAAGATCATAAGCCTGCTTCTATGTAGGATATTTCTGACTGCTTTCCCATTATCTTCCTTTGCAGCATTGAGCACCCTACAGAGGAAAGGAGGTTCTATTTGTCTTCATAAACCGGTGCTTTCCGCTCTCATTTTTCACAACAAAACTTATGTAAAATCATTGTAGGGTTAAAAATAAAAGAAAATATCAGTGTCCTGTGCATCTAAGGTAATACTAAAATTTGCAACTGGTTTGGGGTCCAGAAGTTATTGTAAAAATAAACAAACAAACAGATATACGCTTTCCTCAATAATAATTCATAGATGATACATACAGGGTTGAAGATAAATAAAAACATCACTTTCTCATATGTATTTAAGGTGGCACTACAGTTTTCAGCTGGTTTTGGGTTATTGGATCCCATAGCATAGAAATCCTATTTTTATATTACTAATAAAAACTCATATGAAATACATAAATGACCAAAAGCGAATACAAATTGATGTGTCCTGTGTGTCTAAGTTAGTACTGAAATTTGCAAATAGTTTTGGGTCACTGGATCCCATAGCCTAGAAGGTATTGAAAAAAAATCTAAATTTTCCAATAAAGAAATCACATTAAATATATAAATGGTTAAAAATGAAAATCTCTGTGACCTGCGTCTAAGGTAGTTATGCAATGTGCCCCCTTCTGGGCTGCTGGATCCCATCTCCGGTAATTGTTAATAGAAAAAACTTTTTTCTATATAAAAATGATTTAAAATTCATAAAAGGGTAAAAGTGAATAAAAATCGCTGTGTTTTGGGCGTGTAAAGTACTACCACAATTTACACCTGGTTTTGGGTCATTGGACCCCCTGACCTAGAAGCTATTGCAAGAAATTAGTATTTTGCTATTCGGCAGTAATTTGTTGACGGTCTCTAAATAACAGGTAGCCTAAGTGATCACGTGTAGGGCTCTGTTTTTATACTTGTCGTCTTCCGACTGCTTACGCCGGCTAGCCTGAGTGAATCATCGCCTCTACTGTATGTCTGAAGGGTGTGGATCCGAATATCTGTCAAATATCCAAACTAAAACTGATTTTACCGTCGTGATACCACTACAGTAAATTCATGTGATCCTGAACACTACATCGCCCCCTTCAGGTCAAAGGTATTTGAAATGTTTAAATAAATAAATAATAGATCACACTCTTTTACAATCCTTCCATTTGTCTTTGTCGCATGGTTCTTTTGCGTTTGCAGTGCTTCAACACTTCCTCATATCACATAAAAAAATGTGAGCCTAACCTACTTGTTGTCTATTCTGTGCTATGGAATTCCAGGCAATAAACTTATGACGCCCTCATAAATCTAAAAAAAACAATCGTTAGTGCTCTTGAACAACTCACTGTTCGCTGTATAAACTACATTAAGAACATGCGTATCTTAGGCTGGGAATTCCACAAGTGATTTCCAGAGAACTGAGTGATAAGAAGCGGCGCTTAGTTAATGCTATGATCGGGAAAATATGTGTGTGTGTGTGTGTATGTGTGTGTCAGTGTGTGGCAAAGTCATGTCATATTCTAAGTTTTCATTTACAAATGAATATGAAAATAAAAATGCATTATTTCTGATAAACAGTTTATATCATGAAACATTTTTAACGATAATTTACCATTTTAATGATTATTCCTCTTGTTAACATAATGTATTACGTTAAGCCTTTCATCCCCTACAATTTGTCCCCTGCCTCATGCCTAGTCCATCCTCTATTGCCCTGTACTCCATAGATATGTCGCGATGGAAGATAAACATAATTTTTCTGATAAATTGAATTATTATGATCAATATTGGTAACAGTGGCTATGAAACAAATAACTGGTTTTGAAATGGAGGCATCATTGATAACAAGGCTAGAGTGGCAGAAACACATGCCCAAAAATGGAAATGGTCACTTCCTTTTACCCAATGTCATATTCACGTCTTAATCCACTTTACTAGAAATTCCAGACACTAGAGGTAATATTTCTGTTTCCTTGAATTCAGTGACTCATCAGTCCACTTTCTGCAAAGGTCCCCGGACCCCAGCTTTGTATATAAAGCTCCTGACTAGTATTTCTCCTCTAACTGAGGGTTTAGCTCAGTCCAGGTACATTGCATTGACTCCTGTTATTTAATTAATCACTGCTTTTATTAATTTAATATTTATTCATAGATAGGCAGCAGGGTTTCATTTTCTTTTTTATCATTTAGTTGGATTTATTTTTTTATTCCTCGGTGACATTTTCCTGTATCACTTTCACCCGGTATTGACATTCACACCTTCAAATGTTCTTCTCCACTTTTGACACCTGCCTCTCTATCACCTTTTTCCTCTTCTTCCTACCCCTCTCCCTCTTATTTTATCTCCCGGATCCAAACCCACTTCTGTCATTCAGTGATCATGTCAGAGAGAGACACTTATACACAGGTAGTACCATGATTGATATTGTTATTTGTTGTGTTGTTGCACATTCTATGTCGTGCAGTTTACAGGAACATCTTTAAAAGTAAAAAATGACCATTGACATATATTTAGACTTATGTTGAATTGTGTCTATTCTAAGTGTATTGTTGTCATGACAACAATTATGATAATGTTAATGTATCCAGTTCAAAGCATTTATTTTACCTTTGGTCCAGAGGACAAAAGACGTGGACTTTTCCTAGAGATTTGCCCAGATGGCGTTGTGAAAGGGACCCCCATCCAGACGGAAAACAGTGAGTGTTACTGCACATACAGGCATTTTTATTATGAAACTGGACAACCTACAGGCTTTGTAGCAGTGCGATATGGTAGAAGTTAAGGTATTCAGGGGGCACAGGTGGAATATCACAATGCATTCATAAATGACATGCAAAATGTGATCTACCAATCAGTATCATGAATTGTAGTGTAAAGCCTGAGACCAAAGCCTGACCATTCATGCACATATGTGTTCCAGGTGTGCTCCAGCTGAGGTCCGTGAGAGCTGGAGAGACTGTCATCCAGGCATCGTCGTCATTTCTCTACCTATGTGCCAACAAAAAGGGACATCTCTGGGGGCAGGTGAGCATTTTCCGTGAGGAAACCGGGGCCCGGGTCCAACCAAGATCGTGGCATTTTTTTTTTATTTGTCATCCAAATTATGTATATTGTACAATACAGCCTTCATTCTTAATGCTTTCACTGAGTATTACTATGAATGTAACACATTTTATTCAGATTTTTTCATCGTTTTGGAGCTTCTAATTGCATGTCTGAGGCAGCTGTTTGAAAATGGTGGCTGAATCTCAGCTAGTGTAAAGAGCAATACCACATAGCACTTGTCAGTATAAAGCACACTAGTATAACATCCTGTTCCCAACTGGAAACTGGGAAAACCTGCTATTTATGTTTCACTAAATGAGAAGACATCCGTTTTGCTGACTGCATCACATAGTCTTACGTGCCTGTAAGTGCTGAGAAGAGAGCTTAAGCCTGACCATGATCCCACTGACACCGAGTAAATGATGTTCATGCAGACACTAATGAATTCATCCTGTGGCTCTTTCCACCCAGCGGATATACACAGAAGCTGACTGCACCTTCAAGGAATTGTTGCTGGAGGATGGGTACACACTTTTCCTTTCTGTTAATCATGATATTCCCGTGTCTCTTACATCTAAGAGGCCCCCGGGAAAGCACCTTCCTCCATTTTCACGGTTCCTTCCGATGCAAAATGTCCTGCACATGGAGAGTGGTGAAGAGAAACAGAGTGAATTTCCAATGAAAAATAAAGAACATTTAGACCTTGACTCTGATGACCCATTTGGAATGAGACTTGGAGAATCAGTCATAAGTCCAGCATTCAACTTAAATGTTCCTGCTGCTAGGTAACCAAAAAAAATGTAATGTAAATGTAAATGTAAATTCCACATCAAACAGCTACTACCAGTCTTTTAAGCGATGTCTCAAATGGCTAAAATGTAGCATTTCATTTATTTGCTGAATTTTCAATTCGTAGGTGTGTGTGTGTTTGTGTGTGTATGTGTGTGTGTGTATATATATATATATATATCACAGTAATTGTCATGTACTGGTAATGTTTTGTAAGTCTTTACTGTATCTAGAATAAAAGCGGTTTACAAAAAATCAAAAGTGGGATGATTTTAAGTTTTCTGTCAAGAATCTGTTCTATATTTTTGAGATGAGTCGAGAAAAAAACGTGACACATTGCATAAAGGAACTGAGCCCAGTTTAATTATAATTATACATACTCATCCCATCCAAGGTGTATCCCTGCTTTATGGTGTTTCCCAGCCCGATCCTTGGGGACCCACAGACAGTCCACATTTTTGCTCCCTCCCAGACAGTCCACAATGTGGGGGTCCTGAGGACCAGGTAGGAAAACACTGGCCGATGCTACCTTGTATAGGCTCCAAGCCCGTCTCTGACCATATCCTGCATATTCAACTAGAACAGGGGTGGCCAGTCTTATCCAAAAAGGGCTGCTGTGTATGCAGGTTTTCACTGCAACTGTCAAATTAGATTGCTAATAAGAGGACTGATTGGCTGAAGAGTCCTCACACCTGGCTTTGAACAGCTGACCTAAAGGTTGTCCCAAAAACCTGCATACACACTGACCCTTTGCGGATAAGATTGGCCACTCCTGGACTAGGACATGGATGGATGGATGGATGGATGAATGGATGGATGGATTATACATATGTTTTCTAAAAAAGATTATTGCTGTATATACCAATAACTCAGCTTCAGTTCTTTCTCTCCAAAGATGGCTGCCCCCCCCCCACACCCCAAAAGACAGAAAACCTCATAACTCTCATATTTGCATTGCTTGTAATTTCAAAGTGTGGAAAATCCGCATTAACTTCATTATCATTAAAAAAACATGTATTACTTGATAATTATTCATATTGCATTATCACTGCTAAAATGATACACTCACCTAATGGATTATTAGGAACACCTGTTCAATTTCTCATTAATGCAATTATCTAATCAACCAATCACATGGCAGTTGCTTCAATGCATTTAGGGGTGTGGTCCTGGTCAAGACAATCTCCTGAACTCCAAACTGAATGTCAGAATGGGAAAGAAAGGTGATTTAAGCAATTTTGAGCGTGGCATGGTTGTTGGTGCCAGACGGGCCGGTCTGAGTATTTCACAATCTGCTCAGTTACTGGGATTTTCACACACAACCATTTCTAGGGTTTACAAAGAATGGTGTGCAAAGGGAAAAACATCCAGTATGTGGCAGTCCTGTGGGCGAAAATGCCTTGTTGATGCTAGAGGTCAGAGGAGAATGGGCCGACTGATTCAAGCTGATAGAAGAGCAACTTTGACTGAAATAACCACTCGTTACAACCGAGGTATGCAGCAAAGCATTTGTGAAGCCACAACACGCACAACCTTGAGGCGGATGGGCTACAACAGCAGAAGACCCCACCGGGTACCACTCATCTCCACTACAAATAGGAAAAAGAGGCTACAGTTTGCACGAGCTCACCAAAATTGGACAGTTGAAGACTGGAAAAATGTTGCCTGGTCTGATGAGTCTCGATTTCTGTTGAGACATTCAAATGGTAGAGTCAGAATTTGGCGTAAACAGAATGAGAACATGGATCCATCATGCCTTGTTACCACTGTGCAGGCTGGTGGTGGTGGTGTAATGGTGTGGGGGATGTTTTCTTGGCACACTTTAGGCCCCTTAGTGCCAATTGGGCATCGTTTAAATGCCACGGCCTACCTGAGCATTGTTTCTGACCATGTCCATCCCTTTATGACCACCATGTACCCATCCTCTGATGGCTACTTCCAGCAGGATAATGCACCATGTCACAAAGCTCGAATCATTGTTCGTTTCTTGAACATGACAATGAGTTCACTGTACTAAAATGGCCCCCACAGTCACCAGATCTCAACCCAATAGAGCATCTTTGGGATGTGGTGGAACGGGAGCTTCGTGCCCTGGATGTGCATCCCACAAATCTCCATCAACTGCAAGATGCTATCCTATCAATATGGGCTAACATTTCTAAAGAATGCTTTCAGCACCTTGTTGAATCAATGCCACGTAGAATTAAGGCAGTTCTGAAGGCGAAAGGGGGTCAAACACCCTATTAGAATGGTGTTCCTAATAATCCTTTAGGTGAGTGTATATAAAAACTTTATCTTTGATGCAGTTGTTTCATCTCACATATTTACGTTTCTAGTACTTTCCTTATTAAATGAAATATAATTTTCTGATGTATGAAAATGTATTTTTTGTTGGTAAAAATAACTAAAACCAGAAAGTCATATATACCAAAGCTTTAAATTTCTTAAATCCTGTCATATTAGATAGAAGTTTTTAATCCAATAGGTTTTTTTTCCAATAGGTTGCTAGAGACAGAGATGGTATTTATTACATTTGATAACAGGAAAAATAAGATAAAATCTTTTTATTAAATACTTACATATAAATATAGAATGTCAGACACAACATATTGCACACATAGTTTTGATATATAATATAATTAATGAATTGGGGTATACAACATCACATGCTATATGATTTCATCGGTGGAAAACCAAAAAATACTGCACAGTTAATCATAATTTCAGTGAAATGAAAAATATAACATGAGTTGTCACAGACGATACTGTGCTTAGAAAGGCATCGTAGACCATTACAGACTTGATGATTTTTGAAATGCCTAACCTCAGTAATTCATTAAGACTTCAATAATGTCAAAGGCATTAGAAATTACTAATTACTAATTAATTCAGCAGTTAATGCTAGATACTGTAATACTGCCATAAATACAATTAAATAAATAAGGCACAGCAATTGTTCATTCCATTTAGTCAATAAATAAACACCATAAGCAATTTAAGATTAAATATTGAGTGTAGTAGTAAGAAATACATACATCAAAATAAATTAATAAACAAAAATAGATCCTACACTATCCCTGTGAATGGACTTTGTCACCTGCTATTGGTATTCTGTATTCATACAGTAAGACTCTGTAGCAACCAAATTGCTCTTGGCCATTGGTCAGTTAGCACACTTTGCTAACCTCATACTTTCACACCTCTGTCACCAGAGGTTCCTTAATGTATACATTTTGTACCTGCTGAAACTCATTCCCTTCATATGTAGGTAGAGTCCCATTCAGAGGACTATACATGCCCCCCAAAGCCAAATAATCCTTTTCCTTCTCATCCTCTTTGTCTTCCTCCCACAAAGAGCACTTGACATGCTTGTAAGGTGATGTGTCAAAGGCCAAATTTGCCCTGTGATAGAAGTAGCTGAAGTTGGAGACGATGACAGGCACAGGCAGGGAGATGGTTAGCACCCCAGCAATGGCACACATGGAGCCCACCAGCTTGCCCATTAGTGTTTCTGGGTACATGTCACCATAGCCAACTGTAGTCATGGTGACCAAAGCCCACCAAAAGGAGCAAGGAATGCTAAGAAAGAGTGTGTCTTCCTTATCCCCCTCTGCGAAGTAGATGGCACTAGAGAAAATGATGACTCCAATGAGTAGGAAAAAGAAGAGCAGAGCTAGCTCACGCATGCTGGCCTTCAGGGTCATGGCCAGGATCTGCAGACCCTTGGAGTGGCGGGAGAGTTTGAAGATCCGGAAGACTCGCACCAGCCTGATGATCTTGAAGAGGGCCAGTGTTGACTCCTCCTCTCCTTCAGCTGTCTCAGTCACATCTGAGAACTGCTCGACGAAAAAAGGTAGGATGGAGCCGAAGTCGATCAGGTTCATTGCCTCCTTTAAAAACTCAGTCTTGCTGGGTGAAGACAAGAAGCGCAGGGTCAGTTCTGTAGAGAACCAGCTGACGCATATGCATTCTGTCACGAAGAAGAAGTCTAAAGAGCTGGACCCACTGGACTGGCTCGTGCTATTGTGGGCTCCAGATTGATCCTGTTGTGGAAACAATGACAAAGGAAAATGGTAAAGGGGAAGAAGGGGAATACAGAAGTCTTAAAGGAAGGAATGGATACAGGAATGAACATTTAGAATCAATGTGGTTAAGGTCTAAACTGAAGGTAGTGCTCATTATAGTTACTGGGTAAGAGTTTGGAACATAGATGGATTTTACTCGACGCATGTCTGAGGGTTCCTAAGCTACTATATAAATATACTGCATTGGTATTTATTCCTTTCTTCATAACCGAGAAGTACATCCATGTTAGCAAGACATTTAATTTAATGGTGCTATATTACATGGGTGTGGGTGAAAAGGATTATTGCCCATGATCTAGGGTCACATAGAAGCATGTCAGCAAAATAGATATCAGCATAACCTCTGTGGTACACTTTTTCTAAAATCAAAAATTATTATTATGCAAAGTATTGCACAGAGTATTACATGGAAAGAAAAAAATGTTTAAGAACAATATTTGCAAATATTGTACTTTGGGTATCTTTAGGAGTTTTAGCTTTTTGTGTATCTAACAGTATATGTTCTCAGTACACTTCAGTGTACCAAACATTTGTGTTGAAATGGTAAATAGTAATATTTAATTGCATTCATTCATACATATACAGATGCTCCTCTACTTACGAACTTTCAACCTTCAAACTTTCAGACATACGAACGAAGACGACTGTAAGTCCAAATTGTGTTCATTGGGCTCCCGTCTCCTGTCCCCAACATACGGTAATTTTTTTTTCCTGCACACCAATTCCGCCTAGTACGACTTCTGGCTACTACTCCTGCCGTGCGGCAGCATAGCGTGCATATTCCCAGCATCCTAGTTCTTAGTACTTGCGTATACCCTTAAAATGATGTTAAATAACCACTTACGAACATTTCAAGTTACAAACGGCCGTTCGGAAACGTAACTCGTTCGTAAGTAGAGGAGCATCTGTACATTCACATTTTACACATACGTTTTTCTCCAAAGCCTTGTACAGTGAGTCAAATAGCACACTGCAAACATCCAGGCTGTCAAGGAGTCAACTATGCATAAGCACAGCTAGGCTGAGCTTCTAGTGAATGCCCAGGTACAGGTG